CACCCCTGTAATCCCAGCACTTTGTGAGGCCAAAGCAGGCTGATCGCTGATCACCTGAGGTCAGGAGTTCAAGACCAGCCTGGCCAACATGATGAAACCTCATCTCTAAAAAAAATACAAAAATTAGCTGGGCATGGTGGCACATGCCTGTAATCCTAGCCAAAGCACAGGAGGCTGAGGCACAAGAATCACTTAAATGAGGGAGGTGGAGGCTGCAGTGGGTCATATTCATGCTCCTGCACTCCAGCCTGGGTGACAGACTGTGAAAGAAATAAAGAAAGAAAAAGAAAGAAAGGAAAGAAAGAAAAGAAAGATCTATGTGAATGCCCTAAGTGAAAAAGGTGAAATCTATGACTGTAGTCCCAGCTACTCAGGAGGCTGAGGTACAAATTTTGTGAACCCAGGAGGCGGAGGGTACAGCAAGCCATCACAGCACTGCACTCCAGCCTGGGCAACTGAGCAAGACTGTCTCCAAAAAACATGTCAAATCACAGAACTGAATGTGTAACAATGTGAAAAAGCACACACAAAAAATATCAATCAGACTAGGGAGCTGTGGTTAGCTCAAAGTAAAGACTTCCATTTTGTTCCTACTTTATGTATTTATAAATTCTTCAATCTGGTCATTATAACGTAATATTAAAAGTTACTTTAAAAAATACTATTGATCCTTAGGACAAATTCTGAAAAAAAACGCTGACTTCTGAAATTACATTCAAAAAGAAATCAGATCTTTCAGATTTGGGGAGGCCACACATGAAAACAAGAGACCAAAATTTAAATAAGCTAACTTCTACAAAGACTGACATTTGCTACATGGGCACTAAATAAAATAACTAGGCTCTCTTTGAATTTATGAAATTCAAGAGGACACAAGCTGGGAACCTTATAACCAATTCACCTGCAAAGCTCAATGACGTCTATACTAAGTTACTTGAACTGAGCCCAGCTCTCAAGAGCAAGCTATCACAGTTTCACAATCTATTACTATTTCCTAGCTACACACTTTTCTCTAAAAATATTATGTTTTTCTAACAAAAAAAGGGTCCCCAAAATTTAATTATGTATACACAAGACCCATAGGGCATCCAAATATAAATAAATTTGTGAAAGCTTTCAACAGAAATATGTAAGTCCACTGCAATTTCATAATAAACTTGCAGGTCTTGTAAAAAGTAGTAATTTTTTTAGCAGAAGAACACTGTAGAGGAAAAAAATGTTCTCTGAGGGCAGCAACGCTCTAGGATGAAGGAAAAACATTCAAATAAAGGAACCAGCCCAGGCATGGTGGCTCACACCTGTAATCCCAGCACTTTGAGAGGCTGAGGGAGGCGAGCCACCTGAGGTCAGGAGTTCAAGACCATCCTGGCAAAACCCAGGCTCTACTAAAAATACAAAAATCAGCTGGGCGTGGTGAAACATGCCTGTAATCCCAGCTACTCGGGAGGAGAGGCAGGAGAATCGCTTGAACCTAGGAAGCAGAGTGCAGTAAGCCAAGATCGTGCCACTGCACTCCTACCTGGGCAAGAGTAAGACAAGAAAGAAGGAAAAAGGAAGGAAGGAGGGGAGAGGAGGGGGAAGGGGAGAAGACCAGCCAGGTGTGTTGGCTCACACCTGTAATCTCAGCAGTTCGGGAGGCTGAGGTGGGCAGATCATGAAGTCAGGAGTCCGAGACCAGCTTAGCCAACATGGTGAAACCCTGTCTCTACTAAAAAGCATGGTGGTGCACGCCTGTAATCCCAGCTACTTAGGAGGCTGGGGCAGGAGAAACACTTGAACCCAGGAGCAGGTGGAGATTGCAGTGAGCTGAGATCACGCCACTGGGCTCCAGCCTTAGTGACAGAGAGACTACATCTCAAAAAACAAGAAATCAAAATTGGATAACTCCTTCAAACTAATTTTTTTAAAAATGTTGGGCCAAGTTCAGTGGCTCACACCTGTAATCCCAAGAGTTGAAGACCAAGCCTGGGCAATCATTAAAAAGGCAGCCAGTGTGGTGGTGCCTGCCTGGAGCCCTAGCTACTCAGGATGCCAAGACCACAGGATCACTTGAACCCAAAGTGTTTGAAGCTGCAGTGAGCTACAATCCCGTCCCTGCACTACAGCCAGAGCAACAGAGTAAGAATTTGTCTCAAAAAAATAATTGTTATTTGTATCATAAACCAGAATTCTGGGCTGGACACAGTGACTCCTGCCTGTAATCCCAGCACTCTGGGAGGCTGTGGAGGGCGGATCACAAGGTAAAGAGTTCAAGACCAGCCTGGCCAACATGGTAAAATCCCATCTCTACTAAAAATACAAAAATTAGCCCAGCATGAGGGCGGGCACCTGTAATCCCTGCTACTCAGGAGGCTGAGGCAGGAGAACTGCTTGAACCAGGGAGGCGGAGGTTGCAGTGAGCCGAGATCAAGCCACTGCACTGCAGCCTGGGCAACAGATATTCCATCTCAAAAAACAAACAAAAAACCGAGCATTTAAAAAAAATAAATAAGCCAAAATATGACATCAATAACCCTATACACCAAGAATGTTTAAACAAACTGAAACATAGTTCCTTTTATTAGGTCTTTTTTCACTGTCATTTTTTAAAGAGGTGAGCGGGGGGGTCAGGCACAGTGGCTCATGCCTGTAATCCCAGCACTCTGGGAGGCCGAGGCAGGAGACTTACTTGAGGTAAGGAGTTCAAGCCCAGCCTGGCCAACATGGCGAAACCCCATCTTTACTACAAAATACAAAAATTAGCTGGGCATGGTGGCACGCACCTGTAGTCCCAGCTACCTGGGAGGCTGAGGTACACGAATCACTTCAACCTGGAAGCGGAAGGCTGCATGCAGTGAGCTGAGATGGTGACACTGTACTCCAGCCTTGGCAACAGCGCAAGACTCCATCTTAAAAAGTAAAAAAAGCGGAAGGCTGCATGCAGCGAGCTGAGATCGTGACACTGTACTCCAGCCTTGGCAACAAAGCGAGACTCCATCTTAAAAGTAAAAAGGAGGTCCTCACTGTATCCTCAAACTCCTGGCCTCAAGCATTCCTCCCTGCTTACCCTCCAAGTAGTTGGGATTACAGGCAACAGCCACTGCATCTGGTATATAAGGTTCTTATGAAAAGGTATCTGACATCACAGAATGTGGCTTAAGCCAGGTCACTTCAACCCTACTACCGTTTATCACTGTAATTTTCCAAACTATTGTACTATAAAAATTACTCACCTATGATACTCATTTAACAAATATTTTAGAGACTATTTTGTGCCATGGATGATTGTGCTAGGGACTGGCTGTGGCAGAAACACTGGACACAACTTTATAGTGGTATCACAGTGTACACTGATGTCCCCACTCTGTGAGCAGCAGTTTGGTATAGTGAAAATAATTCTGACCTAGAAAAAAAAATCTGGGTTGCAATTCCTGCTCTAACCTGCTTACAAATCCTTCCTAATTTTCAGATTAACAGAACCATGTGTTACACCATGCAAACTTGATTCATTAAATTATGCAACATCAGTTTTTTTCAGATAAAAATAATATATTTTACGACTATAATACAGTTTAAAGCTACAGAGCCTCATAACCATTAAATTTTTAAAACATTCTAATCTTTAAAAAAATCAGCAAACATATTTATTAAAGCTGCAGTGCTAGAACTGCATAATGTCCTACACTAGGTCACAAGATTTCTTAATTTAATAACAAACCATGTACACACACAATTTTCTAACAATCGTTTTCCTTCTGTAAATATATATTCCCTTCCCCCGTTTTTTGAGACGGAGTCTCTCTCCGTCACAAGGCTGGAGTGCAGTGGCGCGATCTTGGCTCATTGCAACTTCTGCCTCCTGGGTTCAAGTGATTCTCCTACCTCAGATTCCCAAATAGTTGGGATTACAGATGCTCGCTACCACGCCCAGCTAATTTTTTTATTTTTAGTAGAGACGGGGTTTCACCATGCTGGCCAGGATGGTCTCGATCTCTTGAGCTCATGATCCACCCGCCTCTGCCTCCCAAAGTGCTGAGATTACAGGCATGAGCCACCGTGGCTAGCTGAATATATATCCTATTTTTCTTTTTTTAAGAATAGAGAAGTATGTTTTAACGAAAACCCACAAAATGTACCACTTATCTCAAAAAAAAAAAAAAAAAATTTCAAATGACACAATTTAACTCCTTTTTTATAAACACAGTGTCTCCTTGTAGACCTGTCCCCAACAGGCTTTGTTATACAGACATACATTATCGGTTTTCATACCAAAAGTCTACTTAAACTAAGAATTTAAGTTCTTTTCAAGAACTTATGCAGAGGTATTAAAGGTTTAAGTTGTGACTAAAAAGAAAACCCTCCAATTATTTTTAATACATCATATTTTCCCATATTTATATTTTAATAATCGAATATCTGTTCACCATGAATTAAGAATTCAAAGAAAAAAATATAAATTCTTTAAACAACTGTGGCAAATTCTATCTTTTTAAGAGTATTACCATATTTAAAACATTTTATTCATGTTTAAGAGGAAAAAAAGCACTAAAGTTAATATTTACTGACATAATTATTGTTTTCAATTAGTAAAACAAATAATATTCCTTGAGAGATAATTAGTCGATCTTTAATTTCCTTTGATATGAAATTCACAAGTAATGTGTGTCCACTTTAGGTAACATTTATATATAAAAAGTTTATTAGAAATAAGAAATTTTAAATTTTACACTAGTTTAAAAAATGCTCCACTAAAAATACCAAAGATTTTTAGTGGAACACTTTTTAAAACACAAAGATTTTTAGTAGAGTATTTTAGGTAACATTTATATGTAAAAAGTTTATTAGAACTTTCGGTAACATTTATATATAAAAAGTTTATTAGAAATATAAAAATTTTAAATTTTAAACTATTTTCCACCTCAAGATTCTTATAGATAAAGCAGATGTGCCTTATAGTTCAAACACAATCTGATGTACAAAATCTCATTTAGTTCTTAGTCAAATAAATACAGAAACACAACTGATGAAATGAAGGACTATTAATAACTATTAAAAAACCCAATGTAAAAGTTTCCAAAAAACCACCATTTGTTGTAGGTACCTGATATGGCAATATTTACTGTAAAATATATTAAACCACTTACACTAAAATTTAATGTGCTGGCTTATCACCAAGATCAACATTATCATATTAAAATGCAAGTTGTGCGGTCTAGGTATATGTTTCCAAACTTTTTGTCAGCTAGACAAAGGAACCAAAACCTTTTTCTTAAAGGATCGGAGACAGGCTGAGTATCCCTTATCCGAAATGCTTGGGACCAGAAGTATTTCAGATTTTGGATTCTTTCAAATTTTCGAGTATTTGCATATACATAAGACTCAAGAAATGAGATCCAAGACTAAACATAAAGTTCATTTATATCTCATATACACCTTATACACATAGACTGAAGGTAATTTTACACAACTGTTTTAATAATTTTATGCATGAAACAAATTTGTAATTACGTTTTGACTATGACCAATCACGTGCGGATTGGGGTGGAATTTTCCACTTGCAGCATGATGTCAGCACTCAGAAAGTTTTGGACTTTGGAGCATTTTTTATTTCAGATTTTTGGATTAGGGATTGCCAACCTGTACTAAAAATTTGGGGCTTGCAGGACCTAAGGTCTCACCACTCAATTCTGCCAATGCAGGGTTAAGCAGGCATAGAAAACAAACATATAAATGGGTATGCTTGTGAGCTGTAGTTTGCTTGATGCTGAACAATACATAAATTCTGGACGACAGACTTATTTCAGGTGTCATATTACAAATACATCATATTAGAAGGTAGGAGAACAATACAGATGGGTAGACATTAATAAATGAAAACCACAAATTAAAATTTTCACACTTATTACCCAATCATAATTGGATATTATGTGTATATATGTATACATACAAGTTATAAAGCTAGCTCACTTCAATTCCATATACTTTTTGGTGTGTTAATCAACAGTATCAAATCAACATCAGATAAGCAGCAAAAGAATTATGAGTGATTGAATACTCAGTAGTTAATCAAGAATCAGGAAATCTGGTTTTGACATCTAAGTATTTCTACACAATGAAAAAACTTATTTGCTGTGCTCTTTAGAAAATATCAGATGTATCTTTTCAGGTGTCATTTTTAAAATTGAATTAAATTGTTAACAATTTGAAGCTATATGTGATTTGCTGTTTTATTAGAAAAAATACTCAAGCAAGGTCTACAATCATTGGTCAATTAAGAATGACTTACAAGAACATGAGGCAATAAAATAAAAATACAGGTACAAACTATGTATCTGAAACACTTCTATTTGGCAATTTTATAACAAATCAAATTTTAAAAAGAACAAAAAAGATTGCAGATTACTTCGCAGATACAGAATAAAGCAATTGATGAAGTGCTTAAGCAAAAGAAAACAAACAAACAAAAAAAAACACTGCTTTTCTTTTAAAAAATAAAATCACATTGCTATAGATCAAATGGATAATACCCTTATTAAACAACCATTCCAGAATGTCTTATAGTAGCAGTGCTTTTATTTGCACGTCATTTAATTTTATAAGACTCATTTCATGTATATAGCTCTTTACCCCATTGTTAATGAATAAAGTCTCTCATAATTTTTACATTTTTTAATTTTGTAAAGGAAATGAGAAATGATTTATGTATCATGGAACCTTTGCCATTTTGGAACCAAAGGTTTAATTCTATATTTTTGTCTATTATTTCTTTAAAAAATTTAGTGTAAAAACTGCTGGTTTTTATATCACTGTAGTAAAGTGAAAACTCCTCAATCAGGAGTATTTTCTGCAGTTTCACTGCATATAACCACATACTTTACAATATGTCCTTCCAACAGTAAGGAAATAATTGATTTCAAGATCACTGTCAGAAATGAGTGCCATAATTCTATTATGGGTATAGGTCCTCCCTCAAAGACTTTCTGGAAGGATGTTCAATTTGTTTTGTTCTTATAGATATTAACAGTAGTATATAGTCCCTTAAGTCTGCGAAAGACATTTATTGTTAAAGAAGGTGCTTTTTATTAACAATTCCTCCGGCAGCACTAGTGAATTACAATATCCTTCAATATTATTTCTACCATAATATATACATTTAACTTTCATGCCTCTAGAAAAACATCTACAGTACATTTCAAAATATAAAAATATATTACAAATCTGCTGAATTATTTACAAGCAATGTTCTATTATCTCTATGCAACATTTGTTTAATACAATACTAACAAGTTACACATATTTCCATTTCTGTAAGTTAAAAAAAATCGATATGGCTTCTTGCTCACCAAGCAAGAAAGTGATTTTATTTTCCTTTTCAAAACCAACTTTGGTGCATAAAAGATTCAGTTTGAAGATACTTGTAAAAAAAATACAATTTTTCTTACATTATGAAAAAACAACTCAAAAACCAAATGATTTCCTCAGAAAAAAAAATTAGAGTCATTTAGGTTAAATGAAAATATGAAAATTATTCAAATAATTTGAAAGGTTTTTCAAAAACCGTTAACAGATTAGTTATATAGGTAAATATGAACGTACTGTACTCCATGAGAAAGCCCTAGTCCTGAAAAGGGAGCCACCAGACATACTGCAACACTCTTTAACAGTAATTTTCAGCCCTAATTCGATAGACGAATTTTTAGTTGATTGCAAACGTCGTTCACTGTTTGCTTAAATACAAATTGAACACTTTTCTTATCAGAGTTCTGCAAAAGAACACAAATGGCAACCAATCACATCTATTTATCATAATTGAAAAGTAAATTATCTCTTGATAATTTTCATTGTCTAAATATTTCCTAATATGACTTCAAATCAATAAACACTGTCAAGACAAATATCCTTACAGTGCTTTTGGTATTTGTAAGGGCACATGTTGTAATTGTTTTTCTTTCCAATATAAACTACTGAAATCACTAAAGGGGAAAAAAAAAAGAAAAAAAAGAAAAAAAAAGAAAAGCAGCTTAAAGCAGCAAGCATGCAAAGCCTTTAAGAAGCTGTTCTACTAAGTTGCCAAAAGAGTGTTTGCTCAGTCTCCCACAGTACCATTCCATGAAAATGTGGATATACGGTAATATATTAATATATTCCACCGAAGAGTCTACTTCATTCACAGAATGTTTACACTAAGCATAAATATTATCCTAAATACTGGATTTAAAAAAAAAAAAAAAAAAAAAAAGGAAGGGGTTGACTCTAATGTGCAACTTTTCCTAAACCCATTGTCAGTGACTAAGACTGCAGGTGTCCCCGCTTGTTTGCTTTTTATGTATTTATTTATTTTTTACCTCTTCAACCTCTTCTGCGGCATTGTTCTAGAAAAAGAGAAAAAGAAATTCTTTTATTCAACTAAATCAAACACACTGCTTCAAGTGACATTAAAAATATTTGTAAGATATAGGCAATGTGACGATCATAGATTATAAAGAAAATTTATTTCCAAAACATTTATACATATGGATCCATACTTAGTTACATAATAATAGTTGCTTAATAAAAGTTTTAAATTTAGCCTGCTTGTGCGTTTCTAAGAAAGAATTCCATGTGTAATACACATATTTTAGGCAACTAGTACTTTAAAACTGACGCTTGGCTGGGTCCCAGTGGCTCATGTCTATAATCCTCCCAGCAGTTTGGGAAGCCAAAGCAGAAAGATTGCTTGCGCCAAGGAGTTCAAGATAAGCCTGGGAACACAGACAGATGTGGTCTCAAAAACAACAACAAACCCTGAAGCTTAAATCCCAAATAAATTCAGTTGTCCCTCGGCATGCATGGTGGGAGTGTGGAGGTCCCCAGAACAGAATCTCCTGCAGATTCCAAAATCCAAAGACATAGCAGTATTTGCAAATAACCTACATACGTCCTTCTGCATACTTATATAAATGCTACGTAAATCAATGTTATATTATACTGGTCTTTTATTTGTATTTTTTTATTGCTGTATTGTCTTTTACCCCCAAATAGCTTTGATACGCAGTTGGTTGAATCCATGGATGCGGAAGCTGCGGATACAGAGGGCCAACTATGTATTTAGTCTCATTTTGAAGAAATATATTTTTCAGAAGGTTTGCCATGCTTTCATTTTGACATGTGCACAAGAAGGAAATTTCTCCCAAAAACAAGAAAGAATAATTTTCTTATTTTAATTAATTTCACAAGTTTTCCCAATCAAAATCCAGAAATTTAAGAAAAAACTGCTACACCAGGGCAAATGTAGGGGCTTCCATGACTCTATACCACTTTACAGTACACTCAATACTGATTTTCAGAATAGTGAAAGCATGTAGAGTCAAAATTAAGTTTTATGGTGGCTTTTTTTTTTTTTGGACACAGTCTTGCTCTGTAGCCCCAGCTGGAACGCAGGATGCGTTCTTGGCTCACCGCAACCTCCGTCTCCTGGGTACAAGTGATTCTCGTGCCTCAGCCACCCAAGTAGCTGAGATTACAGGCGTGCACCACTATATTCAGCTGATTTTTGCATTTTTAATAGAAACAGGATTTCATTACGTTGGCCAGGCTGGTCTCGAACTCCTGGCCAAAAGTGATACACCCATCTCAGCCTCCCAAAGTGCTGAAATTACAGGCGTGAGCCACCTCACCCGGCCAAGATGGCTTTTTTGATACAGGTAAGGAAAATTAAATCCACAGAAGCACCCAATATAATCCTAATAGCATCCTCATTTCCAACAACAAAATCAGTAAGAATTGTGGAATCATACACATATTTGAGAATATGCAACACTGTTCTACGAACTTCAGAATATGGGTTCTAAGCTTAATTTATTTCAAGTCACCTTCACTAAAATATCTCAATTGCTTCCTACATAGCACAAGAGCATAAAAAAGTAAGCTGGTTTGGTTAGAAAGCAAAACTCTTTGAAAGATGGAAGTAGGATGCAAGGCAGAAACACAGACTAATCATAAGATTCATGCTCCTTTGACAACTCTCTGAGAGGCAACTTGTAATCTTCCCAAATTTTTAGTAGTAGACTACTCTCAATCTTCTTCTCCTTGATGATCTAGTTCATTCCACAAAGAGTAAGTTTTACTGTATTAATTAGCACTTTCATCAAAAGAAGTTCGAGAAGAAAAAAAAAATTTTTGACACAGGGTCTCAGTCTATCAGCCAGGCTGGAATGCAGTGGCACGATCTTTGCTCACTGCAGCCTTGAACTCCCAGGCTCAACCAATCCTCCCACCTCAGCCTCCTGAGTAGCTGGGACCACAGGTATGTGCCACCATGCCTGGCTAGTTTTTGTATTTTTCTGTAAAGATAGGGTCTCACTATGTTGCCCAGGCTGGTCTTGAACTCCTAGACTTCAGCAATCTGCCTGCCCAGTGTCCCAAATGCTGTGATTACAGGCATGAGCCACTGCGCCCACCCAAAAACACCTTTTTTGTGGTAAGGAAAACTATGTTTCCACATGGAAATGTCCACTATGTTAGAATTTCACTCATAGAATAATGTCTCAAATTACAAGAATCTCCAGGTGAGTAACACTCCAAAAAGGTGCATCGTAGAATGAATACATCCTCCAAAGTATTACTATAAAATTAGCTATCTTTACAATAGCTAAAATACACAAAGTTTCATTCAAAAAGATATAAAATCCTTTTGGTAAGAGTGCCTTTTAAAAGCTGGTTTTAAGCATTTCCACCACTTTTTTAATCACTCTAAGGTACCTCATTTGGATAGAGGTACTATGGAGTTCAATCACATTCTGTAGAACCTTAGGTAGATTGACTATTTAACCTCTTACCTCAGTTTTCCAATCTGCAAAGCAGAGATAGTAAAACCTACTTCACAGAGCAGCCGTGAGGATAAAGTATATGCAAAGCACCTAGCAAAGTGAATTAGCACATAGACGGAAATTCTGGTCTCTTCTCCTTCCCCCATACCTTTATAAGCAGAGTACACTAAAAAAAAACCTCAAATCATAAAAGTACTAGAAATGTGAACACTCTAAGCTATGTATTAAAAAAACAAACAATATTTGAATTGCTCTTTTAGAAAGTTTGGAGAAAGTGTAAGTTTAAAAAAAAAATCAAAACAGTTTTGGTATTTCAGACTCACGCAACAACATATTATTCGGTCCACAAAAGTCTGTTATTATAAAAGGAATTACCTTGTTAAAAGGGCATTCATCTTCAAATTACTATGTATATTACAATCTAACATACTTAAGATAAATCTGGGATTAAACAAGCATAAAAACTTTAGCAAAATACTGTTTTCCTGGATTGTACAATTTTTAAACTTTTTGTGAGTCCACACACCAAAGAAAAAAATGCCAGAAAGTAGTAAGATACGCTTGGTATTAAAATTCGGTACTGAAAACTAAGTCCTAATTTATCCAAATTTTGGCGAGAGAAAATTACAATTCAAAAAGTAAAACATAAAGGCAAGAATTAAATTACCTGTATATGTTTGGGTCCAAAAGCAAGGCAGTATCTTTGGGTAGCTTTGATAAATGAACTACTTTAGTTTTTAACTGATGTCGTTCACTTTCATTCACCCACACATCAGGCAGACTATGAATTAAAAAACAAGTCAATAATAAGACAACATTAATTTTAGATTTACACTTCCTGTGCCTTCACATTCTGGCATTTTCTGCTACTATGATCACTCCATATTAAGTGAACAAGTTTCCCAGAAACCAGGGAAGCTCAGCTACCAACATTAGTAGCAGGACATGGAGACCCAGATAAGACAGTGTTAAAATTTAAAACACGAATTCAGGGATAAATTAAACATTTTCAGCAGCAACATCATATAAAACTTAGATACTTATCAGAGCACTCTGGCTAGCTTTTTACTCAATGAGTGAAATTCATACTTGAGTTTAATTTGTTGGAAATCTGAGAGCAAATTTCTTTACTGAGAGAGAAATAAAAGGGCCCAGCATGTTGGCTCATGCCTATAATTCCAGTACTTTGGGCGGCCAAGGTAGGGAAGATCACTTGAGCCCAATAATTCAAGCCCAGACTGGCCAACGTGGTAAAAACACGTCTCTACTAAAAATACAAAAATTAGCTGGGCATGGTGGCACACAGTTGTAATCCCAGCTACTCTGGAGGCTGAGGCATCACTTGAACCCAGGAGGCAGAGGTTACAGTGAGCCAAGAGTGCACCACTGCACTCCAGCATGGGCGGCAGAGAAAGACAGTCTCAAAAATAAATAAATTAATTAATTAAAACCCTGGAAGATTAAACTCCATTATTAAAAAAAAAAAAAAAAAATGCATTGCATACGGCCACAACACTAAATTCAAAGAAATTCAACTCTGTAAGAAAATTCAAATGAATGTATTTTCATATTTGGATTAATCAACTTCCAAAACATTAGGAATACACACATTTGAATTTGATTTTTTGGAAAAGGGTCTCACCCTGTCACCCAATCTTGAGTGCAGTGGTTCAATCACGACTCACTGCAGCTTCTACCTCCTGGGCTCAATCTTCCCACCTCAGCCTCCTGAGTATCTGGGACTACAGGCGACAACATCACAACCAGCTAATTTTTTTTTGTTTTTTGTTTTTTTCCTGTAGAGACAAGGTCTCACTATGCTGCCCAGGCTGATCTCAAACTCCTGGCCTAAAAGCAATCCTCCTGCCTCAGCCTTACAAAGCACTGGGATTGCCAGCATAAACCACTGAGCCCAGCTATTGGCCACATATGTGAATTGGGTATGTATAATAAAATCTCTTTCAATTACATTTATTCAATTCTTGATACTTATAAATTTTGTCCAAAATTTCTATGATATGCCCTCATTTCCTTTTATAAAATGAAAATTTTAATTAAAAAGATAAAAAGAAAATTAAACATGAAATATCTGAACTGAGAAACATCTAGGTCAGAAGTGCTATAAATAGGCACTAAAACTCAAAAAAATGTAATCACTGCTAGAAAACTGGTCAATTGCTTTTTGTTGTTGTTGTTGATGTACAGCAAAACCACAATCCGAAGAATTTTTTTTCTTTTGGTCAATTGCTTTTTCTATAAAATATCATTCATTGTGTGCTAGAGAACATTTACAAATTTTTAAAATAAATGATTGAAACAAAGGCACAGTTATGGCTGCTTGTATACTGCTTGGAGGTCCCTAAAAATCCTAAAAATGATTAAAAATTTCTACAACTACTTCTTCCTGTGCCTCAGTCTCCTGAGTAGCTGGGATTACAGGTGCACACCACCACACCCAGCTAATTTTTGCATTTTTAGTAGAGATGTGGTTACACAATGTTGGCCAGGCTGGTCTCGAACTGCTGACCTCAAGTGATCAACCCATTTTGGCCTCCCAAAGTGTTGGGATTACAGGTGGGAGCCATGGCCCCCAGCTTAAAAAAAAAAAAAAACCTTAAGTTTCAAAGCTTATAAAGTAAGCCAGATAGCCTAAGACCTTTCAGATTATCTCTTTAATCCTGACAACCTCAAAATGTTGTACAATGTAATTTCTTTTTGTTTGAATTTAATAACAATTTTTGTGTTTGGGGTTTTAACAAAAATAAAACATAAACTTATTAAATGTTTCACACAGTATTTCAAATACTTACATGTCTTCAGGCATCCAATGAAGCAAAAGTTTTATCTTCCCAGAATCTTCTTTTCTTTTAGCTATTACCTGATAATGAAATGAAAAAAAAATCAAAACAATCTGCAAAACATCATTTTCATGCATTGTTCAAAAAAACACTTTTGGGGCTGGACGCAGTGGCTCATGCCTGTAATTCCAACACTTTGGGAGGCCAAGGTGAGTGAATCACAAGGTCAGGAGTTCGAGACCAGCCTGGCCAATGTGGTAAAACCCCATCTCTACTAAAAATACAAAAATTACAAAAATTAGCTGGGTGTAGTTGCAGGCTCCTGTAATCCCAGCTACTCTGGAGACTGAGGCAGGAGAATCACTTGAACTCGGAAGATGGAGGTTGCAGTGAGCCGAGATAGAGCCACTGCACTCCAGCCTGGGCAACAGGGTAAGACTTCATCTTATTTAAAAAAAAAAAAAAAGCCAGGCACGGTGGCTCATGTCTGTAATCCCAGCAGCACTTTGGGAGGCCGAGGCAGGTGGATCACCTGAGGTCACCAGCCTGGCCAACATGGTGAAACCCCATCTCTATGTAAAATATATATATATATATATATATATATAAAATTAAAAAACAACTTTTAATCAAGAACTTAAGTGTTCATACCCTGGAAAAGACAGTACCACCACTACAGCCTGCTTTGTGGCACTCAAACCTCTCTGTCTTTCCCACAAGGCTGAAAAGTCCATGACATAGTTATCTTCTTACTCTACTAACTTTTGGGTCATACCACCAATAGCAGTGTTTAGTGTAAAGTGAATTAATTAACTGTTTGGAAATCTATTCTAAAAAAATAAACCTAGATTCAGTAGAAGCTCTGTGCTGAAGGATGTTTGTATTACAGGGAACACCGTTAAGCACTTCAGGCCTAAAAAGGGGAAAGCAAATATCCCAACACTGCGATCTAAGAACTGTACTTGTTAATACCTATTATCTCCATCCAAGTTGCCATAATCCAAGTTCAGGTCTCCATTCTTCTGGACCTCCTCCAGTCATCAGAGCTACTTTCCACTCAATACCCAGAAGGCTTTTCCCAATGTACAAATTCAGTAGTATCACTTTAAACTCTTCAACAGTTCTCCTGAGGACTTATGAAACGGTCACTCTAAGTATGGTACAGAAAACTCTTCAGGATCTGGCCTCTCTAGGCCTCCGCTATTTCATGCTTTTCTGCCTTGAACTCCCTTAGCCTCATATTGAGAACAGTTTCCCAAACTACTTGGAACATATAAAAGAAATATTGTCCTGATCTGTAACTTAATGGAACAACTAACTCTCCACGCTTTCTGTGCACCAGCAGCATTAATATTTTACAGAAGAACAATTATGATATTCAGATACTATTAGAGTACTGGACACACAAAAGTAAAATAAAACAAATCCCACTCTACTAAAACTAAAGACTTATTTATATGAAAACTCTAGTTCACAGCTTTTGGAAGGCTTACTAAAGGTCACTTCCTCGGTGGCTCACGCCTGCAATCCCAAAGTATGGGAGGCCAAGGTGGGACGATCACGTAAGCGCAGGAGTTCTACACCAGCCTGGGCAACACAGGGAAACCCTGTTTCAATACAAAAACTTAGTCAGCTGTGGTAGTGTGCGCCTGTAACACCAGCTACTTGGGAGGCTGAGGTTGATAGGATTCCCGGCGCCCAGGCGCCGAGACCATGTCACTGCACTCCAGGCTGAGGGAGAGTGAGGCCCCACACCATGAAAACATAAAAAAGGAAAGAAAGAAAGGAAGGAAAAGAAAAAGGTCACTTATTTAAAAAGCGACATACTGCAGAATTACAGTAAAAATCAAGAACAAAAACTGTAACATGTCTCATTAGGATATCGCTAATGGCTTTTCAACTGTCTACAAGTTCTGGCTCCGCTTTAAATAAATAACAACTGCAAATCATTAGAGTATGTCTACATTTAAGTTTGGTTTATTCAAGAATTGTGACCAGAAACCCCAGTTAATTTATCTATACTCCCAAGTGTGACTTTGGCTCTCTATAACAAATTACTGAACATTCATTTACATATTCAGAATAAATGTTTAAGTTATATACACTTCATTTTTTGATTACTCATTTTAACTCAGGCAATTAACTTAAACAACTACAGGTCTCAGTTAAGTCAAATAAAATTTACATCAAATTTTTACTCCCACCACCTCATCACTTTCCTGCCTGGCATATGCAGTGTCTGCCATGCGCATACACAATGATACATCTCCTTTTTAGGACACATGCATTATCACCTTTTCCGCACTGATGCCCCCCTACAACTCTAATAATTAGTGAAGGGTCTCTTAGTCTATGTCTCCAAAATCTGGGTGCTTAATCTGCATTAGCATGTATTACACCATATTGCCAATCCCTTTATGTGCCTACCTTTCCTCACAGTGTGTGGAATGTAGAATATGGCAGACAACTCAGTTTCTACCCCCAGGTACTAACACAAACATTTCCAATAAATGCAGAATGCAAGCAAATAATTATAATGGAATACTATGCGGTCATTTAACATTGGGGTTACACAAACACTAATAAAAACAAGTAATAGGCCAGGCATGGTGGCTCATGCCTATATTTTGGGAGGCTGAGGTGGGTAGAACAGCTGAGGTTAGAAGTTTGTGACCAGCCTGGCCAACATAGGGAAATCCCTCTCTACTAAAAATACAAAAATTAGCCGGGCATGGTTGGTGCATGCCAGTAATCCCAGCTACTCGGGAGGATGAGACAGGAGAATTGCTTGGGGATGCGGAGGTCGCAACAAGCCGAGATCTTGACACTGCACTCAAGCCTGGGCAAAAAAAGTAGGATAGACCCTACCTCCGACTAACAAGCTAAAAAAAAAAAAAAAAAAGCAGCAGCAATGGTACTAATATCAAAGGTACAAAGTCATACCATATGATTATGACAATCAAAAAAACAAAAGAAAAATTTATACGCAACAGGGTGTATATTCGAGTAAAAAAATCCACTAATCTGAACAATAAAAATACGTACTACTCTATGCAAACCTCAAAAAAATAAAAGGAAAAACAAAAAACAGGTTTGCGTTGGCAATGAAATCATGGCACACAACTTCTTCTACTTTTCTTTATTCTTTTAGTTTTTAATCACATCACTTTTTCAACAAACTTTTCTCAATTTAATTTGTTTTTTCAAGCCGAGGTCTCACTGTCACCCAGGGAATGCAGTGACATAATCTCAGCTCACTGCAACCTCTGCCTCCTAGGCTCAAGTGTTCTTCCCGCCTCGGCCTCCTGAGTAGCTAGAACCACAAGCGCAGCCACTACGCCTAGCTATGTTTATTTTTTGTACAGAGGGGGTTTCACCATGTTGCCCAGGCTGGTATCAAACTCCTAAGCTCAAGCAATCTGCCCCACCTTGGTCTCCCAAAGTGCTCAAATGACAGGCATGAGCCACAACACCCAGCCTCAGCTTCACTTTTAATCATGTATTTTCACAAAAGGAAAAAAAAAGAAAAAGGAATTAAAGAAGTTTTAAATAATCAAACTAAAGCCATGTTACCATTATTAATTAAGGGAATAAAAATGCCATTTGTTTTACTATCCAAATACGTGGCTTACCTTAGCCAATCAAAAGCATTCATAGCAGATGAAAAATTTTTTAAGTCTTTACAATTTTATTACTCAAAAAAGTTTCATTTTTTTAATTTAGCTTTCTGACTCCGTGCTTGTGTCTTCAACACTTTCACAACCATTTTCTGCTCCTCAATAAGGAGAGCATGCTTGATCCTGACATGAACACATTTATAACACGTGAAACCACCAAAGGCCATGTTTCTGTTTTGGACAATCTCATAAGAACTTTAGGTCTTACACCGCGAACCCCTCAATGTCTGCCTGGGCACACGACACATGCAGATTTTGGTGCTTTCCCAACCTTCTTGGTATAAAGGTAAACAATTCTAGTTTTGTTAGAGGCTGTATCATAGGAAAGCCTACAACGGTACGTCAAACGCTGGACCATTCTGAGTGCCTGCAGACAACGTCCCCAGAAGAGGAAGAAGAAAGTATTTGAAATTAAATGAATAAACAGTAAAGAAAAAATACTACCAAGAAGGAAAAGTCTCATTTACAACTTAAGGCACTTATGTCCCGGAGTTTTTTACTGTTTTCAGTTGATTTTAAATGAAAGGTAGCCCATTCAGTTTTTAGGTTTAAGCTTAAGGAATCTATGCAAGTTACATGGTACATCAATCTGAACAGAAAGGCCTAAAGAAGTGTACGAAAAGCAGGCCAGGTGCCATGGCTCTGGCCTGTAATCCCAGCACTTTGGGAGGCCGAGGTGGGTGGATCACAAGGTCAACAGATCGAGACCATCCTGGATAACATGGTGAAACCTCATCTCTACTAAATATACAAAAAATTAGCTGGGCGTGGTGGCGTGCACCTTTAGTCCCAGCTACCCAAGAGGCTGAGTCAGGAGAATCGTCTGAACCCAGGAGGTGGAGATTGCAGTAAGCCAAGATTGCGCCACTGCACTCCAGCCTGGCAATAAAGTGAGACTATGTCCAAAAAAAAAAAAAGAAAGAGAGAGAGAGAGAGAGACAAAGAGAGAAAGAGAAAGAAAGAAAGAGAGAGAGAGAGAGAGAGAAAGAAAGAGAGAAAGAAAAAGAAAAACAATATACTTTCTATTTCATCACCAGACTGTGAAAATTAAGGTAATGCTTAAAATAAAATCAGGAAATAATAATGTTTAACTCTTAAAATTTCCATATAAAGGAAATTAGCACTTTCGTGTTTTAATAATCTTAATCTCGATTTTTGAAATCAAGTTCCAACCACCCAAACAAAATAATGTTACAATGTCATCCTGAAAACCTATTAGGGCTGAGTAAAAGCAGAGCTTTAAGCAAAAATAAAACACTGTCTCCACTATATAAAAACCTGTAGTGAGGCCAGGTGCAGCGTCTCATGCCTATAATCCCAGCACTTCGGGAGGCTGAGGCAGGAGGACTGCTTGAGCCCAGGAGTTCCAGGCCAGCCTGGACAACATGGTGAATCCCTGTTTC